TTTTTACTAAACTTGTGTTCTTTCTGTTTTCTCACAATATAACTCAGTCTCTTCGTTAAAACACGATTTTTGTTACTCAGCTGAGTCTTCCGAGGGGAGTGATATGATAAGTGACTAGAAGTTTGTACTTGAACAGACCTCGATTCATCTGAAATAACAACAAAGAATATAAAAAACCACTTGCAACGAATGCTATATATAATTAGTCTCTATAAATAGATACATCTTTCTTATAACGATATTTATATAACATCATTATATATCAACATTCCCTTATCTGAAGATAACATACATCATTTGAATTTAGACAATTATTGTAGTTGGCTTTCAATTTGCCTATGAGAATAAGAAATCTTATCGAAAATTGAAAAAAACTCTTTCAGATGTGGAAATCACACACACACACACACACACAAATAATTTCCAGATGCTTATGAATCTTCCAATATAAAAAAAAAGTTATTTGCATGTCATGAGAAATGGAAGAAAATCATACATCCATCAAATGAGTGAGAATAGGTAATCAGTTTTTGAAACTGCCTCATCTTCATATTTGTAAGTTTTTTCCAAATTCGGAGCTTCCTCATCTAATTCAAGTTCCATCGCCAATGGTTCCATATCAGTTCCCTTATCGAAAGATTCCTCGATTATACAGATTTCTGATTCTTCTTCAAGTTCACCCTGACGTGGGGGTTTCACGTCCCCACTTGAATGAGCATTTGAAACTAGACACAAATTTTTCACAAATACAAAACCACCACTTACAACGACTCACTCTGTAATAATATTTCATGCCTCAACTTGACTCGCTTGGTAAATGCCTCAGATTCAGTCGGTCGCGCTGTAGGTCAGAAGCCCATAAAATTCTAGGTGGGGAATCTTCACCCCAATATGGCGGAGAGTGAACTTACTTGTGTTTACTTCTATACGGTGTCAGAACATTGGCTCACAGAAAAAAAATTGAAAAATGTAAATTTATCCATTCACTTTTCAGCTGTTTACTTCTACAGGAAAAATATCAAGCATAGCGGATTGATATTTGTTGTAAAAACACTTCAAATCCACAAATTGCAGACCCGAATACTTATATTGTTGAACTCGACTCTGAATTCTGTGGCATTTTAAATAAATCTATCAGTACGAGTATGTTGATTATTTGTTTCTACAGATCATGTACAGAGGACGTCAATGTTTTTTGTCAAACCTGGATGCTACTCTGTCTCAGTTATCGAAAAGCAACATAAAAATATTTTACTGGGAGATTTCAATATAGATTTTATGTCCGATTCAATTTCAAATTTCTAACTTCAATACTTGCTAGATTCCTATCGCTATTAAATAATCATCAATAAATCTACTCGAGTAACCTCACAATCATCTACAAACATATATTATATAATATCAAACCTATTTGATAATTTACATAACACTGATTTCTGTCTCCGACCAAAAGAGCAGTTTGCTAACACCAATGATGTTCCGGAGATTTGCACCTAGAAAAGACACATATTTTGTATCACTAAAAAAGGTCTAAGACATTTCAAAAATCACTCACTTGGGTGGATTGGGTTTATTCGAATACTGAACAAATTGGCTAATAATAGATTGAGCTGGTTCGATCATGTCGAAGCTGTTACTAGCAATCTTTCCACTGTCTTGTTTGTTCTGAGATGATTAAATAATGTGGTCAGCTTGATGACGCTCAAAAGAGCCTACTATGGATTATTTCACTCAATTACGTCATTTGGTATTCTGATTTGCAGTCATTCACGTAACTCCAATAATGTTCTTAACGTTAATAAATTTGACCGACATTGTGATATTCATGCATATGGAACGAGATACATTGATTGAACTTGACCAGACAAATTAACAATTAATAAAAAAAATTCACTAAACTTACATTTGTATAATCATCTTGCACTCGTCTCTGAAGGCACTTAGCCTTGCAAAATTCAAATCTACTAGCGAAAAGCTCCTTTCACAAAGAAGTAGAAAGTCAAAAAATGTATTACTGAGTTATAATATTAGGTCATGTCTACATTTGAAAAATTTCCAAATTTGCACCATAGGCGGTTATTCATATAGATGAAATTATCGATAATAATAAGGTAATGAATTGTCAAATTCTGAGAAATCACAACAAACCTCGTGACAGATGAGAGAACAATACTCGTTATTGAAGTTGAATCATAAAACAAAATATCCCCCCACCACAATTACGTCATTAATGACTAATGACAAGTGGTGTAATTAGGGTGACCTTGAACGATATTTATAATATATATATTTTTTATTTTTTCTGATACTCAATCCTCAACATGTATAAATAACAATAGAAATAAATGACAGTTTGAAGAATCATCAGTATAAAAAGTATCGTTCTGTGGGTATTATGTACAAAACAATTGATAAATTCGGTCGAAAAAAAATGGGGTGGTGGTGGCACTGTTCGGAGCCCACCAGAAGTAATCTCGAGTATGACGAAAGGCTGAAATCAATATTTACTCGTTACTATTAATGAAAATAAATCAGCAATATTCTTCTACCGCTACATGTTCAAGTTTATTTATTGATTTGAATTTGAAAGAATATTAGGGCACTCATCAATAATGCTAATAAATATTTTTCTGTTGAATGAGTGGGTCAAGGTGAAGCTTGCTATCTCTCTCTCTCCCGATACAAAAAAGCATAATTGTATATCCACGTTATTCAGTGTGTTACAGGACGGTATCCAAAAGAACTACATGTTCCCCAGTGTGAATCTGCTAAAATAAATATGTGACGACCTTGGCACTTTTTTGTTTTGTTTATTATTATTTATATTTATACTTTAAAATTCTCACGGTGGGGTTGCCATCTATTGTAAAACCACTTTGGATCCACGAATTGTAGACCTGAATAATTATAATGTTTAACTCGACTACGACTTCTGAGGCACTTTTATTGAATCTATTATTATGTTAATTATTTGTTTCTACAGATCATATGCAAACCTGGATAATCTTTTGCCTCAGTTATTGGAAAGAAACATTAATATGTTCAACTGGGAGATGCCAATATAGATTTATTGTCTGATTCAATTCCACATTCCCAACTTAAATACTTGCTAGATTCCTAATGCCATAAAGTAACCGTCATTAGCTTTACTCGAGTAACTGCAAAACCATCTACATGCCTAAATAATATAATTCCAAAACAATCAGAAAAGTTCCTTCATAGAAATTCATTTATTGAAATCAGTACAATCATTTAACTTATAATACACAAAAAAGAAATATTCCCTCACGCATTCAACCTAGTGTTGGCAGTTATTACAAAGTAACGGAAGTAATTCAGGAACTAGGTTTAAAGCGTTTGGCTGACGTGTGCGACCCAGACCTACTGGGATCGTTTGACAGACCGATTCGAGCATTCGGACTTCGATCTTGTCCGGCTTGAACTACGCCTATAATTGCTTCGTGAATATTCATCCTCAGGATCTTCACTTCTTGAACGAGAACTTGAGGCCAACCCACTTGAACGACTGTGTAATCTCTTTCCATCGATCTTTCTGTTTGAATTGTCCTTGGTCGAAGGATACCTTGATTTAGTACGCGAACGGTTTTTGAAATAGCTACCGGACTTCCTGGCCAGCTGGTCACTTCCATACTTCGATCTGGATCTACTCCTACTGGGAGAACTGCTGATACGACTATTATATGAGCGCGAGCTTCCATTTCCTAGGGGACTATGTTTCGTACGTATTGATGCCCCGTACTTACTGCGACATGTTTCGCTAACACAGTAGCTTCTAACATTAACTGTTGAAGATATAACAACTCCCCTTACCAAAGAAAAGGTGGTGTTTTACAGCAACTTTTATTAAGCAAAAGTTTTCATTAAAACTTCAACATCTTGAGCGATCATCAATATGGCAATGTGGTGAGCTTCTCGACGTTAAACGTCCAATTCAGAGAGGGATCTAAAAAAATTTCCAAAAGTTTTGTGGGTTCTTTGGTACTTGTTGCAAGTGCAATTGAAAGAGATTCTCAATATATTTTCTTCGAATTTGTGAACAAATGTATACTCATTTATTCATGTTGAACACTTTGAATGTATGGAGGACACACGTTTTTTTCACATATTATGAAATAATAACTATAGATATTGTTGTTACAGTTTCGTGAGGTGAATTTTTTTGGAAATCTTCTGCTCTTTAAGGATATTATTTCAGATTTTGAATATCTGAAATATTTTTCGAAATATTAGCAAAAAGCGTTCATAACTTTGACACTAGTTATTTGTTAGCGAAACTTGGGATCAGTATGTATGAAATTACGAATCACTATCACCTCAATTTCAATTTTCAGTGAAGGCTAACTGAAATTATGTGTAATGGCTTTTATGAACGAGACTAAAAACTATAGAAATACTGTTCAATTGGTTGACAACATTATTTGTTCGTGAATCTATTTTCCTATCAATCAATGAAAGGCGAATACATGAGAATATTTTAAAGTTAGAGAAAACTAAAATCCACCCAATCGCGGTCACAAGATAGTCCCAAAAATATAATATACATATGTATACTTTCAAGTGTATACCATTCATATTTATGTATTGTAAGCAGTATGTAGAATCAAATTTTTTAGATTGAGTAGATATTATGTTATTAATCTATATGATAGTTGCAGGAATACATTTCAACTGATTCTTTCCAAGATCTACACAGACAGGATAACCTAAACAGTGAACATTTGCTTAGTAAGTTGGTATTGCTGCTGCTGCTATGAAGTAAATGCACCGCATGGACACTCTGAGTAACATACTTGAATAATTATTAATTATGATGGAAAACTCATCTCATTACATTATCAAAATATGTAGTCGATGAATTTTTGAGTTGACCAAATTATCGTAAAAAAATTCATTCATCTAATTTACAATTATATGTCGAAGTCATACAACTGGAAACAATTGAGAACTAAACATTAATAGTAGAAAGTAAAGGAGTTTGCTTATATGTATGTGATTTATTGAACATCGAACATAATGTGTTATACTTATCATTAAACTATCAAAATTTTCATATTTCCTCTCTTGTACGTTGTGCTTCAGAACTCTTGATGTTAATTTAGATTTTTTCGATACAATGTCTGCATCAGTGTAAAATACGAATAGGATGTTCTAATTACCTGCAACAAGGAATCAATCAATTTCATGGAACTAACATATAAATAGGAATACAGAATCAGTTGTTTCTTTCTCATTGCCAACAAAATTATTTTCATTCCTCAAATGAAATTGAAAATACTTTTGGTGTGTTCCACACCACCAAAGCGAAAATGAAGACTTTAGTTAGAGACTTTTTTGAACTTCAATCAATTTTTTGTGGAGATATATATTCAAAGTTATTATTTTGACAACAAAATACAATATATATAATTATATGTGAGGTTTTTTGTTTTGATACTTATTAGTTCTTATGAAATCACTAGACTGATACTGTTCTATAAGGTTTTTCATTGTAACATATTGAAGGGATATGCGCTCACATTGATTATCTCAAATATAGTAATCACACCTTAAAAGGTAAGAACTCGTTAGTCCTTATAGTCTAGTTCACATGTACTTTTTTTTGTAACATTTTTCAGCCCTGTCCAAAAATTACGACCAAGGTGTCATTCGATTCGTATTTTTGCCTAGAAAGTTTAAGGAAAGGTCCGAAAACGCGCCAATACAAATAACAAAAGTTATAAACAATTAAGTGAAAAAAAATACTAAAGTTGTAGTCCTATTATTTATTTAATTATTGATCGTTATTTATTAAAAAAAAAATATGTTCAAGTCTTTTCAACATAAACTTCGTGTCATGTAACAATAAATCATGAGGATTTTATTACTTGCACTTTTAGTAGTTGTAGGATCATTAACATTCACTTATTGTCATATTTGTGAGGAGTTTAAGTATGATTGCGAAATCAAAGACTGCGATCAACTTAGCAACTTTACCTCCAACAACAATAGCAACACATTTACACTCATTTAGGACGTATTACCAAGTTCAGTTTTGGATTGGTGATTATAATTTGAATCCGAAAGATTGGGGTTGGATCAAATCTGAAACAATGTTCCTGCCGATAAAAACAACGAAAAAACTGGAGCCTGACGACTAACTTAAGCTGGTTAATTGTGCCTGCATGAAAGAGTGTAATAATCGATGTGGATGTAAAAAAGCTGGGCTTTCTTGCTCATCTTTATGCAAAAATTGTAAAGGTGAAACATGTTCTAACGGTACAAGGCCATCACTTGATGATGACAATGATGATACCATGATATCATGATCGGTCGATTAAATGCTATCGATAGTAGTCCCGATGGAAATGAAGACGACCCTAATGATTATCAAGATTTTCCAGTAGGAGTTCAAGAATACTGTGAACCGATTCTTGAAGAAGTCGAAGAAGAGGAGGTTCAAGGAACATCACGACAAGAAAACACAGAAGAAACCACAGATGAGCCACCGCCACTAAAACGATCTAAAAGATTACAAAAAAAATAATAAAAATTGTAAAAAAACTTTTAATTGTACTGAACATGATTTAATAAATTTTAAAAATAACTTTCAGTATGTTTTTGATTTAGTAAATTCCCTGAAAACTTGAAATTTTTCTTTTTTTAATAAATAACGATCAATAATTAAATAAATAATAGGACTACAACTTTAGTAAAAGGCTTAAATTGTTAATAAATTCATAATGAACAAAAAAGACTTGAAGCATATTTGTCATAACTGCAATAGTTTAAAAGTTATTATAATTATACAAGCGAAGGAGCGAATGAAAAAGACAAGTATCAAGGCATCACAATATTAAAAGTTTTATAAGAAATAGAATGAATTGAAAAAACACATAGTTACTTTTATTATAGAACAAAGTATTAAAAAAAATTGTTTATACCAAATAAGAAAAAACTGAAGCCCCATTTTTTTTCACTCAATTGTTTATAACTTTTGTAATTTTTATCGGCGCATTTTCGGACCTTTCCATAAACTTTCTAGGTAAAAATACGAATCGAATGACACCTTGATCGTAATTTTTGGACAGGGCTGAAAAATGTCACCAAAAAGAGCTAAATCGAGTACATGTGAACCAGACTATTAGCTCGCTCGTTAACGGAAAAACAGATTTTAACATATTTTTTTGACAGATTTTGAAAACTGTTTGACAAGTGCATTCATTTACTTTACTTGTATGTATGTTTTTCAACGAGCAAGAAATGTGGCCATAATTTGCGATAATAATATTTGTCGACAAGAGCCGAAGGCGATCATTGTAAATCATTCGACTGAGTAAACAGCATTTTCCGTTAGTAGAGTACTATTTTTCTATGACTTCTAAGATAAATATTTTTAAATTAGATTTATTTGCTACCATTGAAGAAGCGACCTAAGAAAACATTCAAAAAAATTTTTTATTCGTCACTTCAGTCCAATGTTCTTAGAACTACTATAAGAAGAAGCTGACAAGTCGGTGTGATAAGATATTGGAGTTTTTGATTACTCACAATTTTTTATACAGTGTGTAAAAGCCAAATGGAATGAAGTCATTATTTCGGTTACCGTACATATTTTAAAAAATCCCGAAACACCTCAAATGTAAATTATAATTTGACATTCTTCAACGTAAAAATGCCACCCTTACCTTCAACCCCCGTCGAATGACAGATACAACTACAAATTTTTTAAATGGGAAGTATAGGTTTGTGATATATCGTTTGAAATGTCTCTTCATTCTCTATTCAAAAATGTTATCGATTTATGTTTATTGCATCAATTAGAATAAAATAAATTGAAATCATGTGCTTACCGAAATTCGATAAAATACACTCAAAATCTAAAATGTAATGCAAAATGTAATGAAATGTAGAATACGAAAAAGAACTGTGGATGTTAACGAATGAGATGTTCAAAAGTTCACCGCGAACGTCTTGGCAACATCCTATAATCTTAAATAAAACTGTCTTCTAACATTATTTAACATATCAGGCGTGACTGACCTAATCGCAAGCGTTATTCGTTCTTTTAATTCAATCAAATCAGAAGGTTTAGTTTTGTACACATTGCTCTTTACAAGTCCCCATAAAAATAAATCTAATGATGAAAGATCAGGTGATCAGGTGATCAGGTGATCAGGTGATCGATCCTAGTCTCCTTATCCACCGAATGTTTTGTCGAAGTATTGCCGGGCCATAACTTGGTAATGTGGTGGTGAAACCATATCATATTCACTGGAACTTGAGGGTTTCCTAGATCAGGATATAAATTTGCTAAAGTTGGAATGACATCATTTTGAAGGAGTGCCAAATAATTATCGCTGCCCAAACATTAACCTTTTGAGGGTATTGCGTTTGTTCTCTCATCCAGTGAGGATTTTCGTTGACCAGTAGCGGCAATTTTGCCGATTAGCATGACCGTTAAGAGGCAAAGTACACTAATCAGAAAACCTAACATGTTCTAATTGGATGATATTTTATACAATACAACATGTCAATCATTTGCTCACAAAAATAAGTTATTCTATCAAAATCGTCTTCCATGAGCTCTTGAGTAGGTCATTTCATAGGAATGCATTTTATTTTCTTTTAATATGTTTACTATCCATGTATGGCTAACATTGAATGTAGTGGATGTCTGTCTACTCTATGTATGTGAGTTTTTCTCAAACTCAAGCATCCCATCTAATATGAGTTCATGACTCATTGCATTGACAGTTGCTTTTTTTTGTCTGCCCCACATGACCAAGCTCGCGAAACTGCTTCTCTATTTTGCTTATTGTTCCTTGAGATATAGGCTGTGAATTAGAAAATTCCTCATGAAATAGGCGAGCTACTTCTTGTTGTGTTCGGGTTTTATCTCCGTAACCAATCATTTGTAAAATTGTTTTTTATGCATTTCCGTTAAACTAACCATCAGTCAGACTTTGAAGTTAAATTAAAATAATTACAACTAATATAACATACAAAACAAGTTGACAAGGCGTTTTAAACTAAGGTTGCCACGAAATTTATTTACAGTTTTTTAAAGGATACCACCTAAAAAGAACATTGCTATGGTTTTTGCTTACTTTCTTATTATGAATACCTCAACATAAAATAAATTTTGAGTATATTGCAATGAGTTTTGAGTATAGTTTATTGAATTTCGGTAACCACATGATTTTAATTTATTTTATCTAAATTGTTGCAATAAACTGGAAAGCGATAACATTTTTTAATAGAGAATGAAGAGATCTTTCAAACGATATACCACAAGCTTATACTTCCCATTCAAAAAATTAGGGGGTGTACGGGGGTCGAAGGTAGGGGTAGCATTTTCCCGTTGAAGTATGATTTAAATTTGACGTTGTTCAGGATTTTGTTTAAATATGTACCTTAACCTTAATAATCAATTTATTCCATTTGGCTTTTACACTCTGTATAGGAAAATGCATTTTTTTGTCACATTACCTTTTTCTAGTGGGATAGAAACGTTTTTCACTTACCGAGTCATGTTTCAAAATGGAGTGTCGATTTATTGAAAAAGTTTTTCGAGGTAGGACATTTTCAACTGTGAAGTCATGAATTTGCTCTTTGTGATTGGACTCTAGGTAATGTGTTATGAATCTGATCAACTGTGATTGTTTCGAATGTTTAACTTTCTTATTAGTCAGTGGGCTATGCTTAAAGACTGGCAGTAAACAAATCTAAAGAAATTAACTTTAAACGTTCAAGCCAGTCTCGAATATACCTACATAGTAGGTATAATCCAACGCCCTTCGTGGTATTAGCCAGGGGAGCAGTTGTTTTCTGATAGGCGTCAGTCCATTCAACCTACTGTGTAAGTATACTCGGGAATGGCTTGAACGTTTAAAGTTCATTTCTTTAGATTCGAATGTTTAAGTTATGTGTCTTTTTGGCTAGTTACTCAACAAGAAACGGTTACATAATTGATACTTTTTGCAATAGCCATAGAAAAAAATCCTTATCCACCGTTGCATATACATATGAATGCGTGCGATCGTGTTCATATGTATTATGAATCAACAAAGAAGAACAAAAACTGAATATTTCTACTTGTACATGGCATGTGATAATGACAGTAATATAATTTTTAAAACAAATATGGGTGTTCTTGTAGCATCAGTCTTCTGTGAAAATATTAACTGAATTTGAATTTTGTAGGTAATTTATCAGTGGAATCGACAGTAAACTCAATTCACGAATACCAAAGATAAACGAGGCTCCTTGAGGGGATATGTTGCAAAGTCAAGCTTTGCCATCAACGATCGTACGAGATGCGTTTTCTGTCTTTTTCTGCCTTTCATTGCAAAGCAACCTGATGAATCGGGAATCGAAAATAAAGCATTCGTCTAGTTTTGGATGTAGAATGTTTTGTTTTTAGGATCTGGTTTTACATGTATCAGAATATTTCCAAAACGAGTTTTTTGTTATTTGCTCTGGAAAAATTTTATTTCTAATGTTATTATCGAAGAAGTAGAGAAAAAATCTTACTAATATGGCGGTATATAAAAATGACTTTGTGTCTATGGTATCTTGTAAAAACTGTTTATTTGGTTCAAATTGATGTAAATGTTTGAAAGCAAAACAAACTGGGTTCTTGAAAATATATATCTGAAGAATGTTCAAAAATTACTCACCGATGTAAAAGATTGTAAAGACAACATTGAAAATTTCCCGACCTTGAGGACTAAAGGTTGTTTACTGCGTTCCATTATGGTAATTATTGTCTTTCTTGTCTCCAAATCTGATTCAAACCATTTGAATTCATAGCAAGCATCTCTTATTGCTGAACTCTGAAAAGTATTTAGAAATGCATTGGGTTGAAACGAAAATTTTTATTTCAGTTTTATACAAATCTAGTATAAGTTTTCATGAATATATTTGAAAATTTATGATGCGCGAAAAACTTCCATTTATTTATGTATTTATTTATTCAAAATTTGGGATACAAACAGGTAAATACCCATAGAAGCATCCACTGATATTAGTGGTTACAGAGATACTTGGTGTCAGTAGATACAAGAAAAAAAATAAATTGATAAATTTCGTATTCATTTTTGCTATGTGCTGAATATTCATTTCATAGTTATTTTAAAGGAATTCAACGTAATAGAGAAAACATCTACGCTACTACAGTATTTGTTGAAAGAATCACATATTTTAGTAATGGGGGAGTTTTTGCTCAGATTCATGTTGAAATTCGGACTGGCAAGTAATTTTCTGTTTCTAGTGTTCCTTTGAGAAACGTAATGAAAAATCATGCACACTGGATTGGGTGAATCATAACAGTTTGACATAATCTTATAAATAGAAACTAAGTCGGTTATTATTCTTCGTTGTCTTAGAAGCTGTATTTAGTAGTGAGAACGAATTTCGCTTAGCCAAGTGTTACATAAGTCTCCGATATTTTGAAGTGCAAAAACCATACAAATCTGTTCTGGAATTTTTCTAGTCGTACTTCATGTGTATTATAATGTGGGCTCCATATAACACTTCCAAAATTAGGTTTACTGTAAACAACTGTAAAGAGATGGATGTAGCCGTTACTACGTGGTAGGAAATCATAATGAAGAAAAAAGAAATGAAACTTTCTATGTTTTTCACCACTTTTATTTGTAATTAACGTTAGTGCAGTTTCGTCCTAGACGGACATTTTGAAACTCATACAATAAACTAGTTTTCTCTTTTCTTCAACTGTAAAGAGCTTTGATTGCTGCCTCGTTGTTGAAGTCTTTGCATATTTTGCAGAAAAATCCCAAGGTTTTGCTGCATGAATTTATTACATAATCCAAAAAGGGATTAAAAGGCGATTGTGAAGGTAGGATGAAAGCCATCTAAGGAGTTCTTCCTGTATACCTATTCCAGCAAGTTTTCAAATAGGAAGGTTATGGTCGATTTTATTAAATGGCTTACTGAAATCAGTAAGTAATGAACAAAGATCATTTTATTATTTCAATAGCCACTGACAACAGTCGTGAGAAATTAATATCCACACAATACGCCAAAAAACGAATCTAATGCTAAAACGTGTACTGAAAGAATGATTTTGACAATAATATAGAAACAAAATAACAATAAATACATTATAAAATAGGAAATGTTTATGTTGCGAAATAGAAATTATAATGGTAGAGCATAAAAATTGATGAAACTGCATGTAAACATTATTCGCAAATTATATCTCGCTTATTTAGTCTCTGGTTATCTGGTTCATTGAGATATTTGGCAAAGTTATCAAGCAGAGCTTGTAACCATTATGTCGTCTTGTGACTCCTACTGTAATGAGTGTAATACTAGATCCGGCGGGTGGGCTGTACTTGTTCATCTTTCACTGCCTGAACCCCTGTGCCTGCTGTTTTTGCGAATGCATTGGCTTGGGATGTGGGGGTTGAGCAAACCGGTCATCGGATGCCTGCTTCCACGTAACTCCGCTGGATACGGGAATGATAGTATCACGTGTAGTTCTGTTATTACCTAACTAAATAGCATCCCAAAAATGGCTTAATCCTAAGGTATGTGTATTCGTGCCGAGAGGATGAATAACACTGAGCCTATCAGCTGTCTCTAACGGAACCTTCGAGATACCGGGAGTTCTATCGTTGTAGCATCACCTTGTCATGGTAATGCGAGTCTCTGCCGTGATTCATCTTCTTTCCCTAGCAAATCGTAAGACTTTCATGGACAGAGTAAATTTGAATACTTTTTCTGACGCTGAGTCTACAGATGAGATGGATGTCGAGCTTACGACTCCAACTGATCTTCCTGTAACTCCTGATCCAATAACTGAACCTACAAACAACTTGGTGGTGAGCCAGGAAACGACTGAGTCGTCTCCTCAAGAACGGAGTACCTTATGAAACCGCCTTAAACCAAATTCTTTAGCAGCGTACGCAGAATCTGTCTCAGGTGGAGAAACAAACCCCTTCATGGGCAGGTTAGAAAAAGTTTGCGTTCAAATGATGATTTATCGAAACCAGAGGCGAAGAAGCTCTGCACGGCTGAATCTAGGGCATCGTCAGGTGTAGCTGACGTGCAAAAACCCTCATATGGGAAAGTTGTCGCGGGATTTAAGGTGGAAATATTGCACCTTGATTATCCGACTATCTCATTAACGGCCAATGAGCGGGAATCTCCTCAGGAGGCTATTTTGTCGGCTGTAGAGGTTATTCCAGATGATGAGCCACAGGTACAATTTCAGAGCTGCGCTTTTCGGATTGGATGGTTACATGTCGCCTTTGAGGATCAGGTTAGCGCCGACTGGCTTGCGGGTGTAGTTATTATCCTGTAACCGTGGAAGGGTGCTTCTCTGAAATGCGTAACAGGGAACCAACTTCCGAAGCCACACATCTGTGTTGGTCACCTAATTGACGGAGGCAGTCAGAGACTGACCTCTGACCAGGCCCTCACTAGAATGAGGAAAATGAACCTTGGTCTGTCAAATTTGGAGTGGACTATTCTCCACAAGGAAAGTCAGGCCCTGGTCAAACATGGACTTTCGCTGTTGACGATGGATCCATGACTTGCTGGCGAAGAAGGGTTTCATACCATATTAATAATAATAATAATCGTCTATTATTTTCAAATGAATATATACAAAAAAAAAGAAATACTGATAACTATCCTAGATATTATTGAAAATGAATGGCAAAATTTATTTCTGTTAAGTGTTGGACACCATCAAAAATATTATTCCACTCAACCCAAAACCAGAGAAGTGTTCTAATGCGATATAACATTTTAGTTGCATTCCTCACTGGAAATTATCTATTCCAGAAATGATATGTCGAAAAGGAAGGAAAAAATAAATTAACTATTATTTTCACTTGGAATTGTGTCCTTTGGTGTTCTCCACCAATAACTGTTGTTGTACATATCGCATATATTTCACGATGACTCCTATAAATATGTTCACGTACCTATTTACACTCAAAACACGAGCATCGACAATTCCAAAAGTAAATGAGTGTATCTTTCATCAAAATCTAAATACTTTATAAGTTATTGCTCGTGAAATTTCAGAAATGGAATATTTATTTCTGACAATGCAAAAGATGTGTCTTAAAGTGATCTTTGAATTTTTCAACACTATGATTTTTGAGTGCTGAAGAAATTGAGTTAAAAAGGCTATATACCTTGTAACTAAACAAGCGTCTGAATATTTCCGTCAGAAAAGAAAGAACACTCAATAATCTTCTATTTCTAATAATTATGTTGTGTATATCAGTACGATAAATAATTTTACGATGAAGATACCCTGGTTTTTTATTGACGATCACGTTATGACATACATTAGCAAAATGTTCCTCCTGTTCTCCTTATTCAGCCATATAATTTTCCCTAGTTTATGCGAAATTCTTTGCCGTCTTCGTACTCCAAGGATCAGACGTAGATATGAACTCTGAACTTTCCCAATTTTGTTTTCGTATTGTCCATACAGAGCATCCGCGTGAAACTAGTGTTTCATACGCATGCTGTATCATTTTGATATGTTTTTCGAAACTCAAGCCATAATCCATTACTACGCCTCGATTTTTTGTGTCATCGACCAACGCTATTTGCTCATTATTTATATTAATATCCACAGGTGAGGTTTGTCTATAATATTTACCTCCGAACAGCATGACTAGATTTTTTCGCATTGAGAAGCAAGCAGTGATCAGTGGCATAACAGATAAAATTCCTCAAATCCTCATTCATAACTGCACATGCATTTTCTAGTTCTTGAGACTGGAAACTATAGTATAGCTGAGTATCGTCGGCGTAGAGATTCACATTGCAGTTTTGGATTTTGGTAAGAATGTGGTATATTGGAGAGTCTATGGAGAACATTAATGGACCAAGTATGGATCCTTGTGGGACTCCAGATCGCAGAGACATAAAATCCGAGCAGGCATCATTCATACATACTGCTGTTTTCGATTTTAGAGATAATTTTCTATCTATTTACAAGCATTTTTGGAAAAGCCGTGTATTTTAACATATCAATCAGTAAATCATAGTTAGTGGTCGAAAGCTCGACTAAAATCTAATAGCTCTAGCATTTCAGTGTTATGATCTTCGTTCAGGTTGGAAGGCCGTTGTGGTTTGGAACTGTATTCTAACATTTCGCCGGCACAAGTGGCTGGCTTCTTCAGAGGTCTATTCATCCTGGTGGTTTACCGATGACTCATGATTTCTCGAAATCCATCTTGAATTTAGTCAGGTTAGAGCCTGGCTCCCTTACCCTTTGAACTGATGTTTGCCAGAAGGACAAACGGGTCATAACTGATGTGGGTGTTAATGGTATGGTGGCATGAATGTCCTCAGACATCAGTACCGCCCTTCACGGTGTACCCCTGCCTGGCTGGGGTGAATTGGATGAAAACGTTGTTCATCTTTCATCGGAAGATATAGGGGCCTCATTCGACAGAGTGTCGGGGCCTTCTATATCGGGAGGGGTCGTCTACAGTATAATCCATAGCTACCATAGCTACCATAGTTTGGACTGCCGAATGGAAGGCAGCTGCAAATCTCTGCGGATGGCTCATTCCGCACGAACCAAGGAGCATTCACAATCATCCTTATTATCTTGTTTTGTAACCTTTCCAGAATGGAAATGTTGGACGGAGCCGCTTGTTCTCAGACGCCTGAAGCATACATGATGACAGACTTGAACATCGTATTGTAGATGGTAATTTTGTTTTTTAGACTCATTTTTTATTTTCTGTTTATCAGAGGGTACAGACGTGCTATCCGACCCTAGATCTTTGATTTGACGCACGTTATGTGCGGGTTCCAAGTGAGCCTACGGTCTATTAGAAGGCCGAGGTACTTTACTCGCGCTTGCCAGTTAATCTCCCTCGGCGTAAAGAGATATCTTCACACGCTCGGGCCTCGGAAGGTCACTGGTGTAAAGTGAGTACAACGTCGGAGAGAGCCCCCTGTGGCACTCCAGCAAAGACAGAGATCCCTCTACTCTAACCTGAAATGTCCTGTCTTTGAGGAAGGACCCGATCCACCGGACGAGGCCCCGAGGTAGGTCGAACGCGTTTAATTTGTGCAGAAGACCTTCGTCTAATAGGACAATATGCACTTTTTTATTTGTGTTCAACTCGCGGATGGTGTTTTCCACCAGCCTTAGAGCCTGTAACTCAGTAGGGTGGTCTCTCCTGAAGCCAAACTGTTCATCAGGCAGAACATTTCGGTCCTCAACTTCTTCGTTGAGCCTTTGGAGAACGACTCTTTCAGCCAGCTTAGCCGCCGAAGAGAGTAGACATATCGGGCGGTAGTTCTGTGGGAACAGCGGGTTCTGAGCCTGTTTTAGGATCATGACGACGACCGCATGCTTCTACCTACTGGGGAAGTGTCTGAGGGCTAACGAACTATTAATTATATTCAGTAAGCTCTCGACGCAGTTGTCTGGGAGCCTCTTCAACAACGTGTTAGTTATTGAGTCGACCCCCGGTGCTTTCTTAGCCTTTGCGGCCCTGATATATCCCTTCAGCTCTCCCACAGAAGCTGGACGGATGTCGTCATCGTCATCTTCCCTGAGAAGTCGGTGAACCCGGTCTTCCAACAGCATATCGCGATCGATGTCGTCATCGTCGTCAACGTTAAGCTGAAATTGACGTTCCATTGAATCAGCAAAGGATAACGCTTTGTCGGCGGGGGAGTAGCATACTCCGCGCTCTCCGTGAATGGGTGAGAGAGCAGTCTTCTTCCCCTTGAGCCTGCGAGTGACTCGCCAAAGCTCGTCACTCCCAGGTTCAAAGGATTCCAAAAGCTCTTCCCACCTTTCGTTTCGATGATCAATGATGGCCTGCTTTACTTGGTTGGCCATCCTGTTTGCCGCAATTTTATGCCCTGGGAAAAGGGTTCGCTGATAGAGCCTACTCAGGCGATTTCTCTCTCGTGTCAAGGCTTTGATACGAGGGGGAAACTCATTATAGCTCCTCAGCGGACACTCCTCCCTGGGGGTGGCCGCTCGAAACGCATCATTTATTGGCGGATGGGAAGAGTTAACAACGTTTTCCTGGTCCAGATGCAAAGGTTCGAGTCGCCAGTGTGCAGTGAAGCGTGCCGTAACAAAATTATGTCCACTTCCTGAAGTCGAAGTGGCTGCGGTAAAGTGAAGATATGCGTTCCACAAACTGTTATGTAGAATAGATCGTAGGTTAGTTTAATTATATATAGTGCATTCCTTCAGTATTTTCTGTTGAAAGGCACCCTTTCATGGCAGGGGTATGTTCAGAATATGATAACTTTTTATATTTTGTGTAGACGTTCAAGATCTGGCAATATTCACTGTCTTGGATTTGTAGGCGAGTGTTTTCTCGTTATCGAACAACTGCATCACCCTTAGGTAGGTAAGGTAGATTTATGACCCTTGCCACATGTTGGGTTTTAGATATTTGAAGTGGTATTAATAGTAACATTTTGTGTGATTCAAACAGAGTAAAATAACATACAGTCCACGAAGGTTGTGTTGTAATCATCTAAGAAAGTGAACAATAAATACAGACATCGAACACTGGAGTTTTTCTTGGTTAGAATAATTGGAGTTCGAATTCAAGGGGATAAACCCCAACAACTCTTATTTCCATTTTTGTGCTCAGGTGTGACCACAGCCATTATGAAAGATAAAGGAAAATGTCCCTGTTCTAGTGATTTATTGACTATGAAGGTAAGTGGTTGTGCTATGTATTTCGAGACAAGTTTTAGGGTTTCTGCTTTCATATTATCAATCCCGGGAGCTTTCTTGTTCTTCAGTTGACAGATAATTTCCTTTATTTTATTTTATATTGCAGGGTTTAGGAACAATGAGTGGTTGCACACCATTTTTTTCTGAATATAGTATGTTTCTATTAAATTTTTTGACAAATCTTTTCCAACAGAGATAAAATATTCATTGAAGGTGTTGGCTATTTCGATAGGATCTGTTAATTGTTCATTGTTTTTGGAAATTATTGATCTAATTGGTGAAATTTCTTCATTGATCAATACATCATTAATAGTTTTCCAGAGCTTTAGAGTCATTTCCTACTTCTACAAGACGGTTTCTGTAGTAAGCCGTTTTAGTATCCCTGATAATTTTGTCAAGAGTTTTCTTGTAATTGTGATATTCATTGATGAGGACATTGTTATTTGGGTCATTTTTTAATCTATGATATAAATAGTTTTTTTTTTGTTCACAGAATTTACTAGGGATTTGATTATCCATTTTTTCCGTTTTCTGTGTTTGTTGTTTATTTTTGCATACCTTGTACATTTATGCAATTTTGTTGTTATGATTTTAATGAATTCATTTGTTCCAGAGTCGAGATCGCTACAGTGATAGATAGCATCCCAGCTAACATTTTGTATTTTACTGAAAAATCGTTGTAGATCGGGAACTCGGAATTGAATCTCATTAGGTAAACATGATGTACTCACATTCATATCTTGTTTTGGAAAATAATTATGATGTGTAATTTACGTGATATTCACTAAAAGCGATCAGTGATATGTACTTCACAGTATTGCAGACCACACATACTCTATCTAATTTAGTTTAATCTTCTTCTTGAAGATGATCACTTGGTGATTGAAACACGTGTGAAACGGTTTGGTGTTGGGATTAAACTCCAGTAATATTTATATTTATCTTACATGAAATCAATTTCGATTGGTTAATAGATCGGTGTAGTTACCTAAATTGACTTACCTAGTCACATCTGCTTGCCAGGTGACCGTGTACAGAAATAAGTAGGCAAGCCTGTCTAGGCATATTCTGTATGTCAGAAAATATCAATTGAGATGAAATTCATTCGGTTATGAAAAGAGTGAGGGTGATGAAAATAGCTACGTGAACTCTTCTCTAGGCAAGTTTATTGATAAATTATATTGATAAAAAATATATCTCATCAAGTTATCTGATGAGTAAAGGTCAATCTCCCACGGTCTTCTCTACTATATGAAGAACGACTCACTCTAAACATTCCGTTATCTATTCATTTGTATAGTAATTGAAACTGCTGCTAGTTAACTAGTTGATATTTATATTTGAATTTTGAATGATCAACAGTCGTTGGATAGCCAGTTGGTTATCCACTCATGAAGCCATTGCTACGCTGACTGCAGATTCCTTACCCGCCGTTTTCGAAATATAAAAATCTTGTACAAGTTGGGAAAACTAGTCATCAGCCTCTCATCAGAATTAGATATCAGTGTTAAGGATAACATATCATCCAAAATAGTTTGAAGTGATTCGTGAGGCAGTAACACGAAATACAACAATAGAGTATAGCTGTCGAGTCTGACATTCGATTCTTATTGTACGTGTAGCGCTATTGAAATGAATTCTGTTCGTGAATATAACCTTTCATATTCAGAAAGGGTTAATGAAATGTAGGTTTTTCGACTACTTGCTTTGCATTACTCACTTTATCTTTGAAACAGTTTGTGGTTTTGGGTTATTAGGCCGACGTCCGTGTTAATTTCTTACTAACGCTAGTGGTTGGCAACTTCAGAAGTCTGTGTTATCATTTTCAAGATTGGAGATACACTGTACAGAGGGTGAATATTTCCGTACTTATCATCTATGTGAATGGAAACGTGAAATACCTGCCATTACCTTTACTATGATTTCATTTCCGAACCAACAATACATAGCTAGTTGAATCATCATGGCACTGAAATATACTGTCATACATACGAACTGCAAAGTCATAGGATCAACCTAAAAATCATCACGTATTACAATTCAGAGATAATACTTTAGCCAAATATTACGTGTACTAACTGAAATCCAAGGTTGCAAATGACAACTGCACTTGTAGCATACTGCGTTAATATTATCATAGAAAATACTTTGTTCAAAATTTCATGGTACCTGTGAAAGTTGTAGATTATTCAATTATTATCATTCTTAGCTGGAAATTCATCAACTTTCTACTTGATCAATTTTGATAACGAAAGTTTGGAGGAGATAGGAAGTTATAAGCACATCAATTTGATGGAAACATGGAACATGGGAAGTGGAATATGTTATACTACTGTAATATTTCTCAATACTTTTACCATACCTTATTATTTTCACGTGATGTTTTACACAGTGTTTGAGTTCTGTTTTGATATAGTCTGGCCTATATTTTTCATATTCATCACTCAAACCAATGATCTTTCTGTTGAGTATTTCTATCTGAGCAGCACATATTCTCATCAAACTCATAGCTAATATATCCATAGAAGAATTATTTGATGCTGCGCTGATCAAACCTTCAATATATACATATCAAACTACTACTCATATAATTATAGTCAGTTTTAGTTGGGAAGGCAGTTTATAATAGAAGACACCGTTATAAATTGAAAGTTCAGATATTGTTGAAAATACTCACCCATTACTTGAAAGGCATACATTACTGGTTTGAAGTTTCCTATGTTATAAGAAAACCTTAATGGTAAATCCGCCTCTGTAAATACTGGCACCAAACTGTAAAGCAAAATGGTTACGAGGCAGAGCGACTGATATACGTAACCAAGGAATTTTGAATACTTAACCGTTTGTTCAATAATGTTCCTCAAATGATTCGGACAATCGTTAAATTCCTTCAGTTTGATTGAACAAATCAAATTTTGTACAGCATCTGACTTGATTTTGAAAATGATCATCTTTATCAAGTAGGATACTGGTGATATTGTTATAGACAGGTGTTCAGATAGAATTTCATAGTCATCGAAGTGATTAGTAAATTCCGCTAGCAAGCTGAAATTGAATAATATATCCAGACAGAATAACATCCTCTGAAAAATCGTTGTTTTGGCCCCTGGCCAGTGTCCAGATAGAGTGAAAAATTTATTTGGTATGCTTATAGCTTCGATGATATTGCTCATGTTTTGTTTTTATAATCCACAAGTTCTGAAATATACCAATGTTAATGATATACAATCTTATTTTATTCAGAAAGTAATTTTTAAATAAAAAGAAAATGTAAATGGATATTGTTCTTCAATGCTCCTAATAAAATTGTACACATAGTCGTATTAACAACCAAATGATACTTCGTTTACGGTTGTATACATGTGTTTATTTTTGAATATCAAATGATCCGCATAATTGAGTTTTTGTCTCCTTCTTCATCATCATCATCACTCTGTAGAAGAACTCAATCGTCATGTTGTCGACTGTATGCAGGTAAACCGAGGGAGTGAGCACAGATGTTTTTGATATAATTTCCAGCACTCAACTGTGTAGATGAGAGTTTTGACAAATTTCAAAGTTCTCCGTCGCCCGCATGCGCTATATTACATAACATGCCAATCTCAATACCGTTATCGTTAGCGTCCTTTTGCCACGTTGTCATTTGATGTGCTGCACATACATATACGACATTAATTAATATTCACATAAAGTGAGTGGGCATAGTTGGAGATTGGCTGTGAATTAAATTATCTAAAAGAACAATTCGTGCAGGCCAGTCAGGATTATTTACTGAAGTTATTCCTGCATATGCAGGAAGAATCTTGCACTGACATCTCTTGGATACAATCCAATGCCCTTCGTGGTATTAGCCATGGGAGTATTTGTTTTCTGATAGATGTCAGTCCTTTAACCTACAGTGTAGGTGAGTTAAATATGACTTAGTGGGTGCCGTAGCATACTACTTGTACTACCTATAATGATTCATTATTATATTGCAGAATATATAGAGAAGGAAACTTCATGTAATGATTTGCTTATCAAATAAATAGTTTGGCTACGGACGTTTCGACAGTTTTCATGTGCCCCTATGACATTGTTATGTCAGTTGAGCAGAAAGGAATGAATCAGATGAGAATTTCCGTGTGCAAAACCACTATATAAAATATCGTGACCTAGCCCATGAAGGGTGTGCCATCAACTATACCCACATGATTGCAGTTGTATTTCATAATCTATCAGGCTCACTCCAGTATAACAGACTAGGTTAAACATTATGTTTCAATTCACCTATAGTATTCGAGTAATGAACATTTTTTTGAAGAAACTCTCTTCATTTCTCTCTGAATTCCCAAATTTGAAATCACATCTAGATAAAGAACAATTCAATCTCTCCGTGAAGGAAGGTGTATGAATATTTTGATTCATTTGATAAATTCATGGAACCTCAACTAACAATTATCGATGCTTTCTACGAACAAACCCGACAAAAAACCTTGTCCTCTTCGTTCATATTACAGAGTTTCCAGTTTGAGAGACTACGTTAACTTCTATATGGACATAGCCATTGTTCCCCTTTCAGAGGTACTCGAGCAATTTCTCTGGTGTACGAGAGAAATACGAACTTCATCCAGCACAATATTTTACTTTTCCAGGTTTCACATGAAATGCAATATTAAGGTATACAGAAGAAGAACCAAAGTTACCAACAGTTGAATATATATTTTTATTTGTTGAATGTGGAATTCTGGAAGGTTTGAGTCGAGTGTATGGAAGGAGAACATGTCTACCTATGCTCTTCAAAACCTGATTTTTTTTTTATGTAATTTGCAATTCAGGAAACACAATTCTACTCGATACTGTGTATATTGGTGGATAATTTTGAAAAGTTAAATGTATTGATATCAGGATAAGCCATTTATTGATAACTGAAGCTTCATCACTTTAAACTTCTATGTATGATATGATATGAGTAGTTTTGATTTCGTGGAGAGCATGGTGTGAAAATCTGACATTAACGGTAAATGTTTCTAATCTAAACAGATATTGTCTTTGAATTCAAACGATTAATTTAGATTGATATTGTAAATACATGAATCTTCTCTTTTTCTTCGACCACTATATAATTACATATCAATGAAAAATAGAAGGAGGTTTTCTCTAATTATTCACCAGATTGTCATATACTAGATGAAAAGAAAATATTTTCAGAGATTTTGTGAAAGCTGTACGATATTAGAAGTTTTGTGAACTTTTGCCTTTGCCTTTTTTTCATTTAATCATTTCATTTGAAATACGATTTACAAAAAAACATTTGACTTTAGAGTAGTTTGGTTTCGACCCTACACTGAAACCCGCGAGGGTTTATTGGGGACTATTTCAATTCAAACACGACCAAATGAATGCAGCATTCAACGAACTCGTTTTGTTTATTCAGTGAATGATAATTTAGGTCACAGGATAAGAATGTTTCTGCCTTACACTGAAAAGCTTTTTCGATCCTCGGCTGAGCAGGTAGAAAGTATATTATGTTCAAGAACAAACAATTTTACCAGTCACCAGAAATGCAATATTCTTCTCACCAACCGAGTTGCCGTCTTCAGGAGATGATAGAAGGTGAAATCTTTTTGTTTTTATCATATCCTGGAGAAGCCAACTTGCTCGGTGAAAGGCGCGTCGAGAAGAGTATTGCATTTCTGATGGTTGGAAAAAATGCTTGTTTTTGGATTTATTCTATATCAGAGGTGACAGTTTTACCTTCATCACAAAGTATGTGCTCGACTGTTTCGTCATCTTCCAAACACAGATGGCAAGTCTGATTTTTCGACAGTCCAAGTATCTTTATATAATCTGTTAAAAAAATCTGTTTAAAATCTGTTTTTCCATTAACCAGCTGTCGCACCCCTACGATCGACAACCCTCAGAATTCTAAACTTGTGCGAGCTAAGAATTAACGGAGTCTTACCTTTTAACGTGTGATTCCTAACACGGGTTGAACGATAGCAAGTGAAAATCGATCGTTCAGCCTGGGGCTTGAACCACCGACCAACACGGCGGTCAATTCGAGTAAGTGAACAAAGCACCCACGTCGAACCGACCAGCTACCGAATGACAACAGACAACAATACCTGTGAGACAACGTAGTCTGCTGTAGTCTAACGAATGTTTGCTGACATTCTTCGCAAGATGTATTTACATCTTGGAATAGGTTAATCCTGGTAATGATGGAACAGTAGGAAGCCAAGGAGTTTTTTCCAACAT